AAAAAAAAAAAAAAAAAAAAAAAATATGATTTAATTTTTTTCTTTTCCATATACTTAGCCATTTCCCAATACATTTCAAACACTTATTATAACTACTTATAAGTAGAAGTTCTTTAGCTTGAGAGTGTGGTTACCTGTTTCTCTGTTAGAATTACTCTCCTTAGTAACTGATTCTCAAGTCCTTTCATAGTAACAGTAAAGTCAATGACTGACGTTTTAGCATTAATCTCAGGGGTAAAGGCAGGGTTTGGTAACTTTGTAGTAATATAAAGTTTAAATGTATCCATGACATCGCATTCCTTGTCACCAACTTTCACCTACGTAAATTCAAACATAAAATTAAAAACAGCTTAAAGGACAAGGCCAAGAATTTGTGTTCAATTTAAGAAAGAACCTACCGGCCAACCTACCGGCTCAGCGCCTGTAGCTCAGTGGCTAGGGTGCCATCCACATACACCAGAGCTGGTGGGTTTGAAGCCAGCCTTGGCCCACCAAACAACAATGACAAATACAACCAAAAAATAGCTGGGGGTTGTGGTGGGCGCCTGTAGTCCCAGTTACTTGGGAAGTTGAGGTAAGCGATTCGCTTAAGCCCAGGAGTTGGAGGTTGCTGTGAGCTGTGATGCCATAGCACTCTACTGAGGGCAACATAGTGAGACTCTGTCTCAAAAAATAAAAATTAAAAAAAAAAAAAAGAACGAACTAGGGAAAGTTAGTTGTAAAATTTTAATGACTGATCTCAAATAATAAAGAGTATTCAATGTAGAATAATTTAGAATTGTGGTCCTCACTGAAGATGTTTTTAGCCATGATTCAGAGCAAATTGAATAAAAAACTCTATCCAAAACAGATGGTGCATAAAAGAAAACTCAGAAGCATTTAGGATTTGACTTTAAAATCTTAGTAGGCACTTATCACCACCGACTGTACTAGCAGACTGTTCCTTTTTTCCAGTTGAGAAAACTGTTTCCTACTGTGGACATTTGCTGTGTTTATAGGAAGTTTCACTTCTTTTTGCATTTCATGTCATATCCGAAGCAAATTTGACAACAGAAAAAGTTATTGTAATTTTTGAAGGAAAAAAATGCCAAAATTTTTCCAGAAAGGTAACATCTTAAATACTACTATTTGCAGTAAATTAAAAAACAACTCATTTTTGCTATCTAAAAATCAGGTGGGCAATCATATTTTTTAAAACGAATTACATTTTTAATTAATGTTAATCCTGCAAGTGATTGAAGACATTGGGGCCACTATCACATTCTCAGGCATTACGCCTTCATATTGCAGGTAGGAATCTAAGGTCTTTGAAAAAGACCTTCAGGAGTGGAGATTCTGCTGCGTAGAGCCTCCTTTGGATATTAAACATAGCATATGAAATATGCCAGACACAGGCAATATGGCATGATCTCATTTATGTGTGGAATCTAAAAAAGCCAAACTCAGAAATAGAGACGAGGCCAGTGGCCACCAGGAGCTAGGAAGTGGGGGAAATGGGGAGATGTCGGGTCAGAGAGCACAAACTTTCAGTTATACGATGAACAAGTTCTGGGTACCTAAGGTGCAGCATTAGTAATGATGGATGTACTAATAAATTTGATCATGGTAATCACTACACAATGTATACATAAATCAAATCATCATGATGTACACTTTAAATATATGCAATCTTTATTTGTCAATTAAGTATTTTTAAAAATGCGGTTCAAAATTGTGGGTGAGTCCATAAAAAACAAATCACCAAAACTGTGATCTTATCTCCCTTTTCTGATAAAAGAAAACTCTGCTTTCTAATCTCAGAGGAGATCAGTGCTCACTCTTCAGCACATGGCCCGGGTTTTATTCTTTTCCTCCCCCATAAACGTGTACAGGCCTGAGCATGCATCGGATGCTCCATAAACTTTTGCTAAATGAATTAAAAAATGTGACATATGGAAGAGTTCACATTATGGAGAAAACTTTTCTAAATAAATCTCTGTTTAATGAGATTTTTTTTCATTCTTTACTTATTCACTGATATTCATGAAATTAACTTGTTCAGAGTGAAAAAATGCAACCGGAAATGCAAGAAATAAAACCAAAGAAGCCTGAAGGTGGAGAATGACACCCATTAAAAAAGAAACCTTTATATATATTGAAAACAATTCATGTTGTCACCAACAATTGGGAACAGCGTTCCATGGCTTCCAGCAAAGTCAATGAATTTACTGAGAGTTAATGAAGAGAGAAAATTTTAAAAAATGCCTATAGACTTTATTAAAATGTCACTTTCTCCAGTGAGGAAATCCAGATTTTCTTATAAAAATGTACGCATATATATGGCAAGCAAAACCTATTTGCTCAGAGTTGCTAAAATGTGTATGTTTTGTGTATTACACTAACATATTGTTATTAAGACCAGACAACATGTCTTCCTTAATATATTATTTAGTTTTAGCTAAATGATCACTCTTAAGATACTGCCATTTCCTGTATTTTTTTATACACTATAAAAAAACAAAAGAAAATACTGAATTATTTTGGTTTGGAAATAATTTTTTTTCTAGTGTACAGATACTGCCACCTGAAGCAAACTGCCTTTGCTGCTATGCTCAAAAAGATAAGTAGATGTCACCATTGTTCTTTTCTTTCCTTCTTTATTTCTTTTTCCTTTTCTTTTTTTTTACAAAGCTCACCTTGAAGGTGGTGCCTGATTTAATGAAATTCTTTTCTAATACATTATCCAAGGCTGGATCCAGCTCCTCGCGAATGTCCTCAATGAGAAGGGGTCGGCCTAAGGAAAGGCTGTCCTCCAAGTGCGTGCGGAAATATTTATGGTTCAGAGATGTCACCTAAAAAGAAAGAGTTCGTTAGTCTATAAATGTGACAACGCACGTTCCCATCCCTAAGTGAAACCAAGAGATTTGTTTGGTGAGTGACTAAGAATTTTAAGGGCAATATAGAAGGACTTACTTGTAAAAACAAAAGTGAAAAACATAAATGAATGTTCAAAACTTGGTGAGTTATGACTTTGTTCAAGGCCTGAATGTGTAATGGGGTCTCTCTGATTAAGAGGAGAATCAAGTGGCCTTACTGAGAAGAAACTGAGAAGCAGCTGTGCTCCTGACCGGCAGAAGAGAAATAGTCAAGGATCAATCCTTGTAAACTTACAGAGCTATAATTACTCAGAGAAAGCAAAGTAAATCACATACTCGGATATTCATTTATATTCTCAGGACCCTACGAGATGAATAAGTGATAATAAAAAAAGATGTCAGAAATGATATATTGAGTCAAACCAAAGGTCCAGCCCCATAGTCTATCTCCCAGCAGCTCAGGGAAGAACATACTTTTCACAAAGTCAACCTACAAGACGGTAAGGATATATAAAGTTGGATATGTGAAGTCTTTATTTATCTTTACATTTTTAAAAAACAAGAAATCTGAATTCCTTGTGAGATCTCATTTTTAGATCCTTGTCTGTTATTAGTTAAAATAGACACATGGCACTGGCTGATCTTTGTGAGTCAATGGCTTTAAACTCTTACTGCTCATAGGATCCCCGCCCCAGCCTAACTGTAAAGATTCCCAAAGGCTCAGGTCTCAGCGGTCTATCTTCTGGTACTCTAGTCTCTGGATTCCACTCTTGCCTTTATGCTATTACAGCTGCAGACCATAAGACACAGGGAAGAAACATTAGGATGACAAATAAGTAGGAGACTAAAATTAATACACATGGAGATGAAAAAAGATGTGGAATTAAAAAATTAAATAAGTCTACTTTTATCTTTTGTGATTAAAAAGGAAGTAATTAAAATCTTGAAGTGCACAGGAAGAAAGTTTCCCTGGGTGGATAGCTTCTTCTTTACACAAATGTTGTGCTGTAAAGGCCCTACTATGAGTTGATAACGTAAATCAGTCTAAACAAAGGGCTTTCACTAGCTTATTAAACAGGATGATGAAACAAGGCCCCACTAAGACGACATTTGCTTACGTCTTGCTCTGTTTCCTAAGGGGTAAACTCTGTTTTTGTGATTTCCTTCCCAAGTAAAGAGATAATTTTTCAATTGTCAGCTTAAGATTATCTTTAGCTATCTTTAATATCTTTCACAAACCTGAAATAATATAATCTCTCAAAATCATCAATTCAGGTTTAATTCCCATGTGTTTTCTTGTATAGAAACACTACCTGATGTCCACCAGCAGAGCCTGGGCCATCTGCATGAACACTCTGGTGTTAAGAATCTATAAGGTAGCCAGGGAATTTCTGACAGGGAGAACTGGGGAATACATTCTCCTTCCAGAAGTCAGAGCCATGGATGGGTCCTGGAGTTAGCAGTGAAGGTGGCCCTGGCTAAGCTGCCCAGGGAGAACACAGCCCTGGACAGGGCTTTGTTTTTCCTTTATGGGTGTTTGTACACATGCATGTCCATTCACTGGGAAAATGACGTTTTCTGAGTAAGGAAATCACCATTCAATCTGTTTACATCCCAGCCATAGATGGTTTTCAAAATAAGGAAGTGTTTTCAAAATAAGGTACCCTTTCCTTACTGCCACAAGAAGGATACTGGGACTGGGTTGCGTAAGGAAGGAGATTACTGAAGGCTATCAATGAATTTAATGCTCAAAGGGAGAGACAAAGCCATGATCCAGAATGACAATGGCATTCCCAGCCAAGTGGTACAGGCACACTGTGAGGTGAGGGTGTCCAGGCAAGGTTACAAGAATTTCTTATTCTTACTCCAGCCTGGGCAACAGAGCAAGACTTCATCTCTTAAAAAATTAATTTTTTTTAAGAAAGAAAAGGTAACTATGGGTAAAGCCATAAACCTGGCCAACAAGAAATTCATGGTACAGTAGAAATAAATGTCGACTATACAAAGAACAACAATTTGAGACAGACTCGAAGTCCACAGCAGAAGCACAAACAACCCTCCCCTGGGAGGATTTAGGACAGGCCAGGCTAAGCCAGGAACAAGGAAGAGAACTAATGAAGGTATTGTTGGATGTGAACTTCAAAGAATATTTAAGATTTTTATCTGAGATAGAAGTGGAGTGGCCAGTAGGGTGAAGAAAGACATTTTGGTTAGTAGAAATAATACAAGCAAAAAGATGGAAGGCAGGAGCCTTAGAACTGGAAGTGGTGACTAGGAAACACTGAATTAAATAACTACAGTAATGAGATTCTCCAGGGAGTCAGAAACATTAGACTCCTGCCCCGTCTATCTCTACCTGAAAATCAACCCCTTAGTTGACTCTGTATACTGTGTGGTGCATTCTACAACATTCTATTCTTGCCACTTTTCTATAAGATCAAATGCGAGGCCAAGAGCAAAAGCCACATTTGACATTGACAAAAGCAGTCAAGCCAAGGAAATGGACAGAGAGCCGAGAGAGAGATGGAGATGGAATACAAAAGAGAGAAAATAATCAGAGCTGTCACCCCAAATGGCTGTTAAAAGTGTAAATGAGCAAACATTTATCATAGAGAACAACTTTACAACTGGCAGATTCAATTGGAATTTTAAAAATTCTTCATGCTTTCAAGATTACTATCCCAGACACCAAATGCTACATACCTGCAGATCATTTTCTTTTTCCTTTGATTTGATCCAAGTCTTGCCTTGAGTTTGTGGGTCTATGAGGAGTGGGTACCTGGTGGCCTTTGTCACAATAATGCCATTCTGAATTGAGAGATCATCTCCTGGCAATCCCTGCAGACCCCACTCACCAATCTGAACAACAGAAATGGACATGGCCGTTCAAAAGGGACCAAGAATGCTTTCATTAGTCATTAAAAGTTCTACAATGTAAAGTAATTAAAATTTTGGACATTTTTTTCCTTTGAGACTATGCAACTGGTACTTAGAAAAAAAAAGCAAACTTGTAATGTGAACCATATAACATTAACTTTATAAAGCAAATTCTTAATTTAATCAATTCTTTCTTTAATGACCCCCAATTAGGTTTATTCCTTTATTAATTTTCATGCTTAGGGGAAATACCAATTTATCGTATATTAATGAACACAATGAGATGTCAGAGGAGAAGGTAAGCCCCAAGGGAAAGGCCCTGATAACTTCCCTCTCCTGCCCTTTGGTTCTGCCTACATGGGGTATGGGTGATGCACAGCTGGAGAGAAATTAGATGAGCTGAGATATTGTATTGACAGGAGCTCATCAATGACATTTTTGTGAATTTCTTTCTCCATATTTAGAGGGGATTGCCAGCCTCCCTCCACGTGGTCAGTAAAATCATTGGAGATTCAATGGGCCAACCAGCCTCCACCTTTGTTAAATGATTCTAAGACCTCCAAAGGCCATAATTAATAAAGAATATCCTGGCCCACTTCAGCTCACCAGTGCTCAATACATCTTCAACACATAATTTATTCCCTGTAAGGGCAAGTTCAATGTTGTTTGAATTGGGAAAAGATTATTTTTTAACTTTTAAATACAGATAACATGAAATTAATAGCCTAGCATCCCCTAAGGAAATAGCAACTGGAAAGCAGATTTGCAAATCAAAAAAGCAACTCATGAATACAAATTGCCTGGAAAGCATTTATTACCACAGGAGCTCAGCAAGATATGCTGAAAACTGACAGTGGCAGCAAATTCCAGCAAGGACAGTTAGTGCAGCAGGTCATGCTGCTACTCAGTGATACCAGGACATGCTATCACATTATGCTACTGGACGCTAAAGAACATGGTGAATGATAAAAACAAGGTTAATACCAGCACTTCTACCTTAGATAATGTCTGCATTTGTGTAAAATGTTTGAAAGAGAGTGACTTAACAGGACTGGTGTAAATAACGGAGAGTTACAAGAAGCACTCAGGATTAGCAAGTCTATAATTCACGAATGATCTTTTAGTTCACAGCACTGCAGTTGGTTTTAATTTGGAAGAATGATTTCTTAAAATGCAAAGGAACTTTTATATCACAAAGAAAGATCCTTTTTACTATCTCTTAAGCACTTTCAGAACAATCTTTTCAACTATATGAAAATAAGAAAAAGTTAGGTACATATATACTTTGATTTCTTGGTAAGAAATAAAATGAGATGGAAATTCAAATAATATTGGAAAAGTAAACTTACAGTTGGGGGATCCACCAACATTGAGATAAGGTTCAGGTTTTCAGTGAAAGGAATTTTCCGCACTCTCATTTCTAACTCCCATTGGTCTTTAAGCAAATAGTTCCTGAATATCTGATTGAAAGGACCAAGGTAGGAAAGGAATCCCGTGCACAGCAGAATATCACCCACAAGCCTGTTAAGAAAAAACACACAAGCGCCCTCCCCAAAGTGAGTCACCTAACATTTTAGCTGGCTCCGTTAAGTTGTCTGAAAGGTCACAGGGCAGTTTGTTTTATTACCAGGTGGAAATCCTTCTTCACCCCTGCTTACCACTTGGTAGTCGTGCATGGAAAAACCACAGTAAGAGGAGCCCCCAAAGGAGAATGGCCACCATTTGGGTGGGCCAGGGAGCAAGAAAGAAGGCTCCCTCCTGAAGCCTACAGGCCCAGAGCCTTAGCCCTTGAGGAAATACCTTCTTCCCACCCCATGCCATGGTCCTGTTCAGATTTCAGTCTTTTTTTTTTGGCCATTTTCCTGCTCCTCTCCCTTTAAGTTTCCTAAAGACATTGACAGACATCAGTACAAGATTTAAAACAAAGGATTGAATTTAAAACAAACCAGTGATCTGCACCTTCCGAACCACTGCGGTGATGAGCGGAGAGTGAGCGTGTTTCGATGAATCTGGCAAATCCACACAGCATCAGAAACGCTCGCCCACTAAGACCTACAGTGTCCGTGTGAACCATATTCACAGTGGTTCACAACGTTGTCTTCAGTCTGTACAGTATTTTACTGGTGTGGGGATTTAAACTGTAAACACTTTCTTAAATGATGGGACTCGGAGACGGGCATGTGAAAATAAAGGAGAAAAGTATTCACCACAGAAATGGATTTTATACTGTCTAACGCCACAAGGAAGAACAGTGATCATAACAAAGACCCACATTCATACCTATTAATCTGAGCTTTGAACTCCTTACTTTGCTGGGTCCATCGGACTTTCTCTCCGCTCAGCCCGTCGATGAGAGCGGAGGCTGCCTGCATCTTCTTCCGGCACATATCAGCATCGTTAAGCAAATCCTGCGTTCACAGTGGGAGAATGTCTCAAAGAACTTTTTTAAGTGCTTAATCAAACATCCATTATATTCACACATGAAAATACATGGAAGAATTTCTTAATTTGCAAAATAAATATAAAATAAGAATATGGTGTAAGTGAACCCTTACACATCAAACTCCATTCACAATATGGTGACTTTACCTTACAAAATTTCAAGGAAAGCAATTTAGTAAGAGAAGATCTAAATTGCATAAATTAAAATAGTAGTTCTATGAAATATTTTCAAAACAGAATCAAATCAATAAAATACATTATTTTAATGTCTTAGATTTAATAATAATCTTGAGTTATTTGCCATTTACAAGCTCTTTTCTCTGGAAAAAATTCCACTCCACAGTAGTGTGCTGAGCCAGCTTAAACAGCTCGCAGGAGCCAGTTGTTAAATTCTCAGAATATTTGCGAGCTGGTGTTAAACACAACCTTTGTCAAAAATTAAATCACAGTCGAACCCCTGTAAGTTGACCACCCAAGGTACTGTAGTGAACTGGTCAACATACAGAGGTGGCCAATATAAGGAAGTAGGCCCGCTATACCAATATGTACATGTGGTATGTGTCTGGTCTAAGAAAATCAAGTCAACTTAAGGAGGTGGTCCATATAGGAGAGAATGTATATAAACTTACAACTAAACAAAGTATATTAAAAGCACAGGTAAGAAATAATAAACATCTATAAATTCCGGATTATTTATATGTAATGATCCATGCTCTGGAGGTGAAGTCTACTCTGTTTGCATGGTGGAAACAGTCTGTGATAGTGTGCTACTGGGCATCTTTTTCCAAATATGTGCTCGGTGATGTGACATTGGTAGTTTAAAGTTGGTAGTAGTGGAAATATTTATACTACAGAAATCGGTATATATCACAGACCAGGGTCTTCCCTCATTTTCCCCCTGCCCATTTCCCCCGTAGACTGTTGAACATTTATCAGGCCACCATGGCTTATAACCTACTCCAAGAGCTCATATTAGGATCCCTTTTTAGCATAATGAGCCAGGTCTATTTCCCTAAAATGCACAGTGAGTAAGTGCCTGAGTTGGATCTCGAATCCACTTTTCTAACTCCAAAATCAATACTCTTTGTATGACATCACAGCTTACTCTCACAGACACCTGATTAGTAAAAACACTAAAACAATCTTGAATGCGAAAGATCCAAAATAGGTAGATACAGCCAGTGAATAAGGAACATTCTGATGAATATTCAGCATAGATATTTGTCTCTCTCTGAATACAACATATCCTTGTGTAAAAAAAGCTTCAGGACATCATTTTGGTAATGGTAATTTGTATATTAATGCTCACCATTTTCTCATTCATCGCTGCATCAAATTTTGCTTGTACTTTATCCAGCTCGGCTTGTTTTTCATCCAGCAGTGCCTGAGCCTTCCCCAACTCAGCATTAGCCACGGATAAGCGGCCTTCCTGCTTGGCCAGGTTAGCCTTCAGAGGAAGAAGAGGTGGTGAGTGTAATGGACTAGCTCCACCAAACAGTCACGATTTCAACTTGTGTACTAACACAAGTTACGTAACATTTGCACTCAATGGTACTATGGAGGTCATCTATTTCAGTGTTTTCAGGGACGCAGAAGGTCTTGGGGATATGTCATTACTTTTTTCTCCTTACAATTACTAATGTTCAATATAGGAAACATGGAGAATGCAGCTACATATAGGAAGGAGACCAAAAACTGCCCCCTCAAAGATAACCTGTGAATATTGTGTTAAGTTGCCAGTTGGCATTTCTGTTTTTCAGTGGAGGCTGTGCTTGGATAATCATTTTCCCTTGTCCTTAAGCATTTTTTCATGAACATTAGTTATATAGCTGCATGATATTCCATAATTTGAATGTATTGTAATTCGCTTAACCTTGTTCTTAGTTTTATACATTTTTCTCCCTACCATTTTAAATTATTATAAATAATGTTTATGGTAAATACTACTGGATATATAAACATTTGTTACTGTTTCTTTGGTAAAGATTCTTTGAAGTGAAATTACTGGGACAGTAGATTTACATATTTTTCTAAGTTCTCCATCTTGGTAATTATGTCGCTTGTAAATTTAAAAATAATTAATTAGCAAAGTAATCTAGGCCCAGAGCCTTCTGGGGTAGAAGTTCTTTGGTAACTTTATTTTATTCTCAATATTTATTTAAATTTAGTCCTTTTTCCCCCAGAAAAATTTCATCTCATTTATATTTTTTAACATATTTCCAGATAGCTGTGTGAACTTTTCTTTTTAATTATTTAAATCTATAAATCTATGATTATGTGGCTTTACCTCCCTATTCTCATTTGGTTTTGTGCATTTTCTTCTTGATTAGATTTTCCAGAAATGTGTCCCCTACAGCTGAGTTTTCCAAAGGATGGAATTTACCTGTTAACTCTGCTGCTTTTCTCTCCTTTAATTGTTTGTGCAATTTTTGTTAGCTTTGTTCCGCTTTCCATACGTTTTGTTTCTATGTGTGCATATATACTTTAACTTTTAAGTGGAATGTTTGGTCTCTTTGATGCATTTAAGGGCTAAGAATGTACCATTTTGGCCACATTACAAAAACTTTGGTAAGTAGCTTATTTTCGTCATTTCCTAAATAGAAGCAACTGGCTTTTTTAAAATATAAACTTTCTACTTTTATTACTTATAATCAGAGAATGAAGCCCCAGGAATTTTTACTTTTGGAAACTTAATCAAGCTCCTCTTTTAGCACTGACTAGAACAAATTTTGCAAATGTTTCTTGAACTCTAGAAATGATGTCATATTCTTTGTTTATAGTGAGGAAAGTCCACCTTTTTCTACATCTGTGCTCAGTGAGGTTTAAAGATGGTAGTAGTGGAAATATTTAGACTGCAGAATTCAGCTACTCAACCTGAAAAATAATATTGTATACAATTTCTATGTAATTATTAATTTATACCTACTCAGGACTGACTTTATAATTTGCAGGTCCCTATGCAAAACTAAAATATGGGGGCCCTTTCTAAAAAATTCATTAAGAAATTCAAGAGGCCAAGAACCAAGTGTAAACCCAACGTTGCTCCTTTTTTCTTTTTTTTTTAAATTAAGTAACTTGGATATTTTATTTGGTACTCTTTTTTTTTTTCTTATTATTGTTGGGGATTCATCGAGGGTGCAGAAAACCAGGCTGCACTGATTGCATTTGTTAGGTGAAGACCCTGTTACAATCGCAGTGTTGGCCCTTCTCCACATGGAGCCTCATGCATCTACCTGTGAAGCTGGCACTGTGTCTGCTGTCTGCCAGAGTTGTCGTAGGTGGTATTCTATTCGTTAATTTCCACTTAAAATACGAATATGTTTTTCCTTATATAATTTAACATTGTTTTATTCATTTTATAAAGCCTTATTATAATTGCCTTCACTGTGAATCATAATCTTTATCAATTAAAAATAGCTTTGCTGCCATGTGCTTTTTTCCCTTGAACTCTATACATTTCTAGTACCATTTCCCCTCTACATGCTTCTGTTTGGGTGTATCTGCTATATTGTCCTATCGCTTTTCTTTGTTAAAACTTTTCTACTCTAAATTTATTTTCTATTTTTCTCAAAGTTACCTACGCATAGAGTTTAAAGAGGCAGCTATTTCTATAAGGTTTAAGATGAAAAATGGTAACCCCTGCCCACTAACTCATCATTTTCTACTCCACAGAGCAAACACAACACTTTTAGCTTGGGGCAGGCAGCGTTGGGGTGGGGCTGTGGGAGTAGTTTGTACCTGGGTGGTACATTTTATGAACTCTTGCACTCCTACGGATGCTCTTCTCTACCCTCAGATATGAAGGACAGTCTGGTTGAATACAGAGTGTGTGTGTGTGTGTGTGTGTGTGTGTACCACACAATACTTAAGTTGCATCTTTAAGAATGCCTTTTTGTTCCCTCATACATGAAGGTCAGTTTACCCATTATTGTATTCTTGAGCCACACAATCTCCTCCTCAAAATTCCGCATGTGTTTTCCCACTATCTTCCAACATTTAGTGTTGTGGGAAGCCTGCAACACCCTGATTTCTTTTCTTTTATAAGCAACCATTTCACTTTTGTTTGTTTTTTGACATTGTATATAACGTTCCCTTTTTGTCTTTGAAATTTAGAACATTTCTAGATGTTGATCCTAATTTTTATAAGTTTAGCTTAGAATATGGGAATCAATCTCCAAACTGTGAAAAAATGGAAAGTTTATAATAACTTTATTATTATTCCCAATAAATTCACTTCCTGTTTAAGTTAAGAAGTTGGCTTCGGTTTCTTGTCATACTGCCAGGAAAGAAGTAATAGATCTAAAAAGAACGAGGAACTTTGAGAGGACACAGAAGAAAGATGCAGGGAAAGGGCCAGCTAGCTTTATTAGTCTAAATCACGCTTTGTCTCTTAATAGCAGTAATACAGATGATTGATTTTATTAAATATTGATTTACTGGGAAATGGAGGGAAACTCTTACCTTTAGAGGCAACACTTCCTTATTTATGCCATAAAATGTTGCCATAGCCAGTGTCCAAGAAAGCAGACCAGCCACATTTCCACAGACCTTTTTGGCACTTTCAAAGGAATAGTCATCCATGCTAAAATACGGCTGTAATAACTCAACAGTCTCTTCATTTATAGTGTCCTTGGGGAACTGCTGAAGGCTCCACAGGAATCCTGTTGCACTCATCAACTGAAAAATAGTAATACAACCCCTAAATTCTGGGGCAAAAGAGATAATTTCTTTCTGAGTTAGTATGTACTTCTAAATTGAATTTTTTTCAAAGTAGCAGCTGATTTGCTCCAAATATACAAGTCAAGACTACTGGCAGCAGGCAATTGAAATCTGTAAATGGCTAAGTGTCTTTCAGGTACCACAGCAAAAAAGTAAAGAAAAAAAGCTATGTAAGTTTCCTGTCTTGTAAGTGCATCTGAACACCACCAACCACACGGCCCCTTCTGAAGCCTGGACTGGAAGGCTACCAAAGCTGTGCCACCACTGGCCACTGTTTCTGGACAGATTTCATAAGAAGAAGGCATTCAGCTTTAAAATCTATCCCTAATTACATTTTGGGTGATGTAGTTTCAGATGGACTCATCAATACACAGTGATCAATTATTGTCTGCCAGTTTGTCTGGTCTATATTGAGTGTCCTGGGCTGAGGACACCTGATGCACCTCATTAAACTTACAAAGACAGATCTTACTTACCTTTAATGACTCTCCCCATGACGGCTTGCAGCACGGCTTCTCTGGATCCATAGTAACAGGGTCAATTTTCTTTTGAAAGAGTAGCAAAACACAATCCATGATTCTCATAATAAGATGTGGGGGTTTTGCAAGCTTTCTGACCGTGGCAATATCATTTGGTTTGATAGTCTGCATAGGGATTAGGAATCAATACATTTTTTTATTGAGTAGTATTAATACTTGTATAAAAATCTAATACTTTTAGATAATTAAGGTAGAAAGCTTAAAAATATATTTTTCTCTCCAGTTCCTGACATGATCCCCTCAAGGGTAGGAATTAGGAGATTTTTGCACAGCTGTTCTTTTATTGTTATTTTGGGATTTCTCTTTGTTTTTATTCTTTTCATGTTGCCCTGAATTAAATGGTTTAAAATGTCACTACCATTCACTACCATCCACTGCCCGTAAGCCCAGACCTCTATTAACAAACCCATTATTATGTAACATTTTGTTTGTTAACTTGCAACTACATAAAGCACTGAGTCTGTATTACACGTGGATATTAAGAGAGGAGACAGAGCCTGAACATCAGAAACTTCACTGCCAGTCTTCTCTTGAGGGCTGCACTGTCTATGGAAGGGAAGGAATTAAGAGATAAAAGAAGTTATCGTAACTTCTTTGTGTTATTGTGAGTCAGGAAAAAAAAATTTTTAAGTTACTACCCGTGAACTGGGTGTAGACTAAAACATTGCCTGAGGATCCAGGCAAGAAGGACTGTGCACCACGTGATCAATAAAATGTCCTGTGATGTCTTTGGTTCGGTGATCTCAGTTATAGTATGTCACTGTGGAACCTATAAACCAAGTGGAAGTGGAGAATGTGCCCTGGTCACTGTGAAAAATCCATTAAATGACTACCACAGACTTATTCATTCAACAACTGCAGGCATTCTCCCATATAAAACAAAACAAACAAACAAAAATAGGCTCGTCCTCATACCTCCTGAGGAAAGCAGAGAAAACACAATTACCCTACACTAGGATCTCTGCCATGATAGAGGCATACGAGTGATAGGAAAACAAAGGCGAATTGAGAAGACATGAAAGCTTTCGGGAAGGAGTGAGGCCTGAGCCAAGATTTGAAGAATGACTCGTATTAGGCAATGAACTGTAGGTTCCAAGCAGAGGGAGAGGCACATTTAAAGCTGAAAGGCCAGAGTTCTTAAAAGAAAGTGGTCTTCTTTTATAGGTCTTTCTGTAAGACTGGATCATACTTTGTGTAAGGACAGAATGACAAAAGATAAAGTTTAAAACAGGAGCAGGTTATCAGCAGCAGCAGCAGAACCACTAATATTCAGCAGTTTCTCTGTGTCCAGTAAATTGTATCAATTACTTGTAATGATTACATTCATCCTTCAAGGATCAAGGAAAATTATAATCCCCAGGGAGACTCAAGAAAGTTAAGTAAATTTACTCTTGATCATACATATATGTGTGTATACAGTATGAAAATGTGTTATACACATGTATGAAATGGTGGTCCTGAGAGGCAAATACAGACAGATGTACCTGCCTCCAAAGCCGTGCCCCTCTGGCCTCACAGCTGTGGACGCCTACATTGAGATTTTATCCTAAGAGCAGTGGGAACCAGAGGAAGATTCTAAAAGGGGACATAACATAATCTAGAGGGGATGCTGGAAGAACTAAGGAGGTTCTCTATATAATCTGAATTCCTCATGGGTTCGGCCATTAATCACCGTCATTATATCTCAGTTCTCAGGAAGGCTGATTATGAAATAAAAACAATGTGATATAAGAAGTAAGGGCTTAAAAAAATAGAACTTAGAAAACAGGAAACATTTGTTTCTAGACTCAGAGATCATGTTGAGAGCGCAATTCAGTTTTCTGATGACAAAACTCCACTGTTAATTTTCCCGCAATGAGACCTGCCCCCTGGGCGAGCTGGGGCTGGGAGGGTAACAATACACTGCTCACATTCAGGGCTGCCTCTGCTTCTTCCAGAGCAGGCTTAGCCGCCTCAAGTTTAGACTCGGCTTTGACTTTTTCCGTGTCAATTTCATCCACAATTTTTTGGGCTTTGTCTTTCACCTCCTGTACTTCATTTTTTATTTTGGCTGAAGCCTGAGCACTCACTGTGACTTCTGCTAATACCTGTTAAATTAAGGAAACACAGGAAAGCAAAGAGAAACCTTTCAAGCAAAATTTGAGTAGTAAGAGAATATTTATTCAATATAATAAAAACATGACTGAGAGCAAATTTACTCCATGTCTAAGTTGTCTGTAATTTCAGGTATATTAAAGTAATTCCTCTGAGCAGTTCCTTTCAGTATCCCATTTTCTAAGCTTTCCTTAGGCTTAGAAATAAGTACTTCAAGCTTTCAAAAACCGGTGTTTCCACTCTATGAATACTAGAAACTTAAAACAATTCAAGTAAGTATAATGGAATCAGGTCGGAAGCCAAAATGAAAGCCTCACGTAATAACAATAAAAGTAGCCAATATTTACTGAGTGCTTATTACTATGTGCCAGGACCAGGTTTAAGGGATTCTCTGTTATTCACTCACTTCAGGAACTGGGTGAGGGTCAAGAGTTAAGTGGATATTCTTAACTGACTCTCAGTGTAGATATGAGAGCAGCACACTTGCATCCCTATAACCTTGAGTCAAGTATCTTCTTTCCTTTTTTTGTTCTTGTTTTTGTTTTAAATGTCATCAACTCTTTCTCTTATCCTTTTCTCTCCTAGACACACACTGTAGATGAGATAGGGGGGCCATCTTAGAAACCTAGAGACTACAGGGCCCTTAAAGAGAAAACCAAAGAAAACTCACAGAAATTTCATAAACAGATAAAAGAGAACAAGATACAGCAAGAGAAGAAAGAATAATCTTAGACCAAGTAATGGATATAATAGCTTTGATATGTCTTGGTATAAGTTAAACAAAAATACATGATGGTCTTTGTGAACATTATCTTACCAGAAATTATCTATTGGTTTATACCCTGCTTATTTTTAAGCAGCATTTTAAAATAATGCTTTCTTAATTATGGAAAAATATTCCTTATCAGTAGTGATAAAAGAAATGCAAACTCACTTCATCTGCTTTTACAGAGGCCACTGCCAGTTCCTTCTCTTTGACTGCCAGATCTTGAGAGAGTTTAGCAACGGATTCACTTGCCTCCATAAGCTTATCAAGACCTGAAATATAAACATACATATTCTTGGTAAAGATATGTGTATCCCCTCATCAAACACTTACTCAATATTTACTATTTATAAGGTACTATACATGTAATCTAACAAATATAATTATTTATAGACAAAAGCTTCAAAAATATACATATGTAGGAGCAGCAATCCTGACTATGTTTCTAAGTTTCAACAGGGAGCTAAAGAAAATAGCCCAGATCTAAGAATATCCTCTAGCTATATTCAAGGGAAAGTCACAATACCATATTGAATAAGATTAGGTAAGCCAGGAAACTTATTTGACAAAGTTATGCTCTTTTTGGCTTTGTAAACAGTTTGTAGCTATCATTTTTTGATCAGATTGCAGTTGAGATGGCAAATGAGACTGGAAATATATTAACATTTTTGTCACTCTCTTTGTTATAAAATTAAAAATAACTGCTAAAATGTAATGACTCTGTGACTTTCACAGAGAGAAATAACCGGTTAAATAAATTTCTCATATTTTTATTGGGTTCTAGATTGTGGTGTGTTGGTAAATGTTTAACATCTGGGTCTCTGGGGGAAGGAGAAGCATTCATTTGTCTATTTGCCAATTTCCATAGCGTAAATGCTCCCACCATGGCTTATTTCAAGCTACCAAGAGATTCTCAGCAGCATGCCATTGTATAATATTTCCACCATACAGATAGAACAGAAATAACCAACCTAAATTAGTAACAGTGAAGTAGAGTTAAAATAACTGAGAAGTGATGAGATTTGAGTGTTTATTGCCTACATTTTAAATATCATTTATTTAACTTTAGGTATATTTGACTTAATTTTCATTAAAGGCTATGTTTAAGACACAGATCATAAAACTCCTAAAAATTTAACAATTGGCTGCCAAGAGCTGGTATAAGTCAGCTTTGGCACACGACTGATTCTAGCAGCATTGCCTAGAAAAGCTATGAGGCGGCGAGTCGTGAAGAAAACGTCTTCTTCAAGAGGCTTCTTTCCCAGTGATCCTACCATCGCCATCACTCCACAGACCTTGGAGTACACTGATGTTATAAGACTGTATTTTCTCTGGGGGAAATGAAAAGAACTGAGGGTGTTTGAACTGTTTGGGCCACATGCTTTCTGGAAACCTAATCTGTTCCAACATACATGTTTCCTACTTACACTGCATACACCTGGCGCTCAGCAAGCTACTGCTCAGGTAAACTATCTCTTTCTATTTTTATTTCCTAATGTTTCTGGTTTTTCCTTTCCCTTTATTAAAAATTTGGAAAGCATTAACAAGGCAAAGTTTATACAAATCAAGGAAAATTGTAATTGAACCAAAAATTGAAATTGTAGTCAGTTCCCAAGAGCTGCCTTCTCCCTGTCTGCAAGCAGAAACTCAGTAACCTTGGTGAGTTACTGCTCAGCACAGCTGCGAGAAATGGTTCTAGAGAGAAAATGGACTACTGCTGTTCAGATTTTCTTCTTCCCAGAGTTTCCTGATGGGTGCAAAGAGCCTTAAGGACATCCCTTAAAATTATCCTGTTACTAATAATAAAATCAGTATTAATATTTAGCTTTCAAACAAAATAGTAAGATCACTATAAAATGAATCCCCCAGAGATCTGATTCTCCTTACCAATATTCATACGTTCAGCTTGTTCATTAATATATTTCACCTTTTCAGCATAAATATTTTTATATCCATTTATAAAGGAGAGATAAGACTTAGGAGTCACATGTGCTCTTCGGCGGTATCTGAAAGCAGAACACAAGAGATGGCCGTTTCTATCATTCTGGTATCCTCCTGTAAAATGACACCCTTCCCAACGTGAAACCAGGGGGACTCATTAGCAGGAAGGCAAGGCTTGAGTAAGGTTTTTCAGAGGTGAGGTGGAGAGAGCACTAATCTCTGTCTGGTGATTTGACGCTTTATCTGAGTCTGGGCTTCTGGTTCCTCATCTGGGAAACTGAGCACATAATGTCTGTCCTCACCGCCCTCCCACCCCAAGTTTTGTGAAGATCAAATGAAACAGCATATATGAATGTACTTTGTTAACTTTAAGGTTCTGGACATGTATTAGAGGTAAGCAGTTGAATGAATTTTGCTATGATACATTTTCATCCAACTGGTATTAGTTACAAACCTCTACCTTGCTAGATACCATCTGGCTGGGCTTACAAAATTGAAAACCAATCTCTCCTCTGATTCATTAGACTGGCCTTGAAATCAAGGCACCCACATTTGATTAAAATGTTCAAGCCGTTGTGGGCTTTATTATAGTAATTATATTTAATGATAGAAGTAGATAAAAGGAATAATTTTATATAGGAAAAATTCAAATCAAAGAAGAGTTCTTTACATATTATAACATTATTTTGCCTTTTACAATAATTTTCACTTTTGGAGTTTTTAAGATTTTTATCATTAAAAAAATTTTTAAGAAACTTGTACACATATGTCACTATCATTAAAGTGTTATAAAAATAATTATACTCAGAATAAATTACAACTTAATAAAATATGAAAAATTTGGAAAACACACAAAAATTTTGAAACAAAAAAAGAACCAGGGACTCGGCAGCTGTAGCTCAAGTGGCTAGGGCGCCAGCCACGTATACAGGAGGTGGCAGGTTCTAATCCAGCCTGGGCCTGTCAAACAACAATGACAACTACAACCAAAAAATAGTCAGGCATTGTGGCAGGCAGCTGTAGTCTCAGCTACTTGGGAAGCTGAGGCAAGAGAGTCACTTAGGCCCCAGAGTTTGAGGTTGCTGTAAGCTGTGACACCATGGCACTCTACCCAGGGAGACAGCTTGAGACTCTGTCTCAAAAAAAAAAAAAAAAAAAAAAAGTAAAAAAGGAACCAGTTTTTGTACAAAGGTAAAAATACAAAGGTAAAAATTTATGTCACAGAGGACACGAGCAGGAGGAGCTCAAGTTCAGTAGAAAGAAAATCTTCTCAGCAGTAAGAAGAAATACACACTGATTCACCAAGACAATCTGGGAGATTATCTAGAATTATTTAGGAGAGATAGTTTGGGGATGGTTTTAAGTAAAGAAAAGGGTCTGGAATAAACAAATTTTGGGGAGGCAGGGACCTTCTTGAAAACCAATGGAAGTGTTACCCAAACTTTCCATGGAGAAAAATAGGCATCACTTTTCTGGGAGTTTGTGCAGCCCCGAAAGTCCAATCACTAACCCTAAGAGAGGAGCCCACTGGTCTGGAGATCCACCTGCGCCCATATGTCAGTCTTACACAGTGACTGTCATTTTTGGGGGGTGCAGGGGTTGTGCTTTGGAACTGTTGACACCAGCTTTCACACAGTAAATATGTCATTCCTGCTTTTAGTGAGTGGGTTTACTACTGCCAATTAAAATTTTGTTTTATAATTATTTGGCATAAAAATATTGATAAGACCAAGTAATGCAAATACAAAACCTAAATGTTCTCTTAACATAAGGCAATAAAGAAACTTTAAAACAATGTACTTCTTTAATCAAAATAATGCATTTGAATGAGAAACTAATTTTTTTTTTTATTATTTGGGATTCATTGAGGGTACAAAGAATTGTGTTACACTGATTGCATTTGTTAGGGAAAGTCCGTCTTATAATTGTGTCCTGCCTGCAAGAGGAGTGCCACACACATGACCCTCTCCAAGTCCTTCTCTCCTTTCTTCTCCCTCATTCCCCTACCCAAGCCCTTGTATTAGATCATCTTCTGCCTTCATATTAGAATTGAGTACATTGGATTCTTGCTTCTCCATTCTTGTGATGCTTTACTAAGAAGAACGTGTTCCACCCCAATCCAGGTTGATACCTATCTCTTTTAGTGGCTGAATAGTATTCACATATACCACAGCTTGTTAATCCATTCCTGGGTTGGTGGCCATTTAGGTTATTTCCACATTTTGACTTTGATGATTTTAAATTGAGCTGAAATAAACAGTTTAGGGAAAATGTCCTTATGATAAAAGGATTTTTTTTTCTTCTGGGTAGATGTCCAGGGATTGCAGGATCACATGGGAGGTCTAATTTGAGTTCTGGGTAGATGTCCAGGGATTGCAGGATCAAATGGGAGGTCTAATTTGAGTTCTTTGAGGATTCTCCCTATTTCCTTCCAAAAAGGTTGTATTAGTTTGCAGTACCACCAACAGTGTAAAAGTGTTCCCTTCTCTCCACATGCATGCCAGCATCTGCAGCTTTGAGACTTTGTGATGTGGGCCATTCTCACTAAGGTTAGGTGATATCTCAGGATGGTTTTGATTTGCATTTCTCTGACGATTAGGGACGATGACCATTTCTCATATGTTTGTTAGCTATTCATCTGTCTTCTTTAGAAAAGGTTCTATTCATGTATCTTGCACAGTGATATATGGGATTGTTGGCTCCTTTTTTATTAATTTGAGTTCTCTATAAATCCTAGTTATCACGCTTTTATCTCATTCATAATATGCAAATATCTTTTCCCATTCTGAAGGTTGTCTGTTTGCTTTGGTTATTGTCTCTTTAGCTGTACAGAAGCTATTAAGTTTAATTAGATCCCAATTTGTTTATTTTTGTTGTTGTTGCAATTGCCATGGAAGTCTTCTTCATAAAATCTTTCTCCAGGCTGATATCTTCAGGTGTTTTTCCCCCACACTTTCTTCAAGGATTTTTATTGTTTCATGCGTTAGATTTAAATCTTTTATCCATCTTGAATCAATTTTTGTAAGTGGTGAGAAGAGCAGGTCCAGTTTCAGTCTTTATCCAGTTCTCCCAGCACCATTTATTGAATATGGATTCTTTTCCCTGGTGTATATTCTTGTTTGGTTTATCAAAGATCAGGTGGCTGTAAGATGTTAGTTTCATTTCTATCTGATTCCAAATGTCTATGTCTCTATTTTGTGCCAAAACCATGCTGTTTTGGTCAGTATGGCCTTGTAGTATAGCCTAACATCTGATGCCCCCAGCTTTGTTTATATAACCAAGAATTACCTTGGTTATATGGGTTTTTTCCAGGTTCTATACAAAACAAAGAATTATTTTTTTCCAAATTTTAAAAGTATAATGTTGGTATTTTAATGGGAATTGTACTGAATCTGTAGATTGCTTTGGGAAGGGTAGACATTTTAACAATGTTGATTCTTCCCAGCCATGAGCATGGTATGCTCTTCCATTTGTTAATATCCTCTGCTGTTTCTTTTCTTAGGAGTTTTATAATTTTCTTTATAGAGATCCTTCACCTCTTTTGTTAGGTATATTCCTAGGTACCTTTTTTTTGAAGCTATTATGAAGGGAACTGTGTCCTTGATTAGCTTCTCATCTTGGCTGTTATTAGCATATACAAAGGCTACTAATTTATGGTCATGAATTTTATATCCTAAGACTTTACTGTATTTTTTGACCACTTCCAGGAATCTTGTGGTCAAGTCTTTGGGGTTCTCTAAGTATAAGATCAGAAACTAATTTTAAACAGTTTCTAAGGAATTAGTTAAGCCATTTACAAAACAAAATTAAGCAAATGAAATAAAGCAATTCATTAAGCATCTGTTACTTTGAGGCCTGGTATTTAAGTATGGATACCAGTTGATTTTTCAATACATAATCACAAGAAAATCAAAGCAAAAAAAATCTGAATGCAAATGCCACCTCCTGCTCAATTAGTATGAAGAATCTTTCACTGGATGTTCCATTTAATTCTTCTTTGGAGTGCACTTGGTGGTTCAGTAGCTATGGTGTTTACACAATATCACTCACCTTTGGAAGTAACTTTCACAGCTCTCTGAAACCATGTCATGAAAGAGGCCCATCGTTTCTACAACCTGTCTTTTAATTTCCAAGGAGCAGACAATGTTATAGCCTGAAAGGAAATAGGAGGCTACGGCGACTAGTGCCTCCTTTGGCCAGCGACTGAACCAGTCCATAGTGCAACCTGAGATCAAGCCAGGAAACTTCAAGGAACGGGCACGGAACTTCTCACCAACCTATTGGTGGCAAAGTCAAAAAGCATTAGAGACACAAGAATTATAAATCATCCAGAGAGAGATGTACACATTCTGAGCCAACAAGGTGACATCAAAAATTTGAAAAAAATAAAAGTCTTAACCTGCAATAATACATAAATTTAGTGTTCAGATGAAGACACAAAATACATTTCACACTCTTCCCTGTCCTGGGGCTACATCTCCATTACTGTAGTTGATTCTAGGAACTGCCTTTTAAGAGGAAACTGATAAAGGAGAACTCTTTCAGAGAGAGAGCATCAGGGCAATAAAAGGCCTGGACACTAGGACGAGTGAACTGCCACAGGAACAGATGATTAGGCTAAAAACAAACAACTTAGGGAGTCTACAGAAACCTTCTTAAATATCTGAACAGGAATTGTGTTCACTACAGAACAGAGTCAGAAGAGAAAAAGCGCAGAGAGACAAAATTCAACTGATTACAGAGAAGACTTTACTGGAATTAGACATCTAAAAATGAAGGTGGCTGCCTTGCAAATTAATGAGAACTCCCCTCCCCAAACCTGGAGCAAAGCTATCCAGAAGGAGTTTAAGCGATAATGGAAATGTTTTACATATGTTCTTTCCAGCGTGGTGGGCATTAGAACACATAATCACCAAGCACTGGAAATGGGGTTAGTGGGACTGAGGAATCGAATTTTCCTTTTTACTTAACTTTAATTAAATATTTAAATCACCATGTACAACATACAGCTACTGTATTATCATAGTGAGCTAGAGATATTCAACCCTACATCAGGGACATTCTAGTAAAGATGGTGTGTCTACCTCGGAGGTGAAGGTGGAGCTGGATGAGATTACTTCACAAAATCCCTTACGATTCAAATAATCCTTGTCTCTAGGTGATTAATGAAAAATGCAGCCAATGCAACAACTTCTAATAATATGAATATTTTAAATGATTACATTGGAAATGAGATTTTGGCCAATGGAGATTAACAGTAGTAAAGTATTCATGATTTTAATTCAACATACAAATAATAATTTCTGAGCAAGTCATCTCATCAGAGAAGGTAAACTAAATACCTTTAAATAAGTAACTCCCGCTACTTGGATACAAATAAAAACAAAAACTCACTGGAGAAAAGCAGAGAACAACGTGCAAGTTCTTTCTCGACCTTGAAATGAAGTACTCATACAGATTATCAAAGGTAGGAGGATGTCGAGGCAGCTCCCTTTTCATCACTGATATCAGACTTTGGGTGATTTCATCCATCTCATCTCTTGCAAACAAATTGGAGATCTTTAAGGAGCAGACAAGAAAGTGTTCTGTATTTAGGAATTACCCAGAGCCAATTCACTGCCAAAGTCTAATCTCTTTTTCTCATGTCATCTTGTTTCATGTTTTCTTTCTGCATCTGTACAGGTCAAATCCTTGGATAGCCAGAGATGACCAAGAGTGCAACTTTCTACTGAACATCTTAAGCAAGAGTAGATTATGTTTTCCTGTCTTCACACAGCTACCACCAAAAAGCTATCTCTGCCACCATTTCAATCACCTCCTTAAAGTGTCCAGTGATGCCCTCTGTTTGACTAACAGTCTTCTCAACTCTGGCTCCAAAATACTTAAGTAGCTTGTGCACCATTAACCAGCTGTATACACCATCGTGCAGGAAACAGTTAACACAACAGGCCTAATCTTGCAAAGGATGTGTTTATAGAGCTGGCCCTTGGCTGGCATCAAGGAACTTGGCTTTTGGAATGTCTCCCCCATTACTGACAAGTTTGTTTTGCTGGGCCTACGAGGCCGTGATACATGGTGCACACTTGCTTTCCTTGTAGGAATCAGAACTCAAGCCATTGTGCCTAGCTAGTCAGGGAGTGACGACATGACCAGATCCAAAGCAAGCCACTGGACTCTGCATCTCAAACAGACTTCCTGAACAGAAATATAGCACAGGGGTTACTGCACTTCATGTAGAAAGGACAGCACACTCCATGGCCCCTTCGTGAGAACACAGGAAGCCGGCTCAGGGATTCCTCCAGACTCCACGTGATGTGTCTTTTTCTTGACTGATGGGCCATGTATTCGTACTGGACATGAGTACAAATACAGGTTGACCATTCCTAATTCAAAATGCTTGGGACTAGTAGTGTTACAGACTTTTGATTTGGGAGGATTTTGGAATATTCCCATTATATACTTCCTTGTTGAACATCCCAAATCCAAGTATCTGCATTCAAAAATGCTCAAATAAGCGTTTCCTCTGAGCATCCTGTTGGTGCTCAGAAAGTTTTGCATTATGGAGCATTTTGAACTTCAGATTTTGGGATTTGGGATGCTCCATCTGTTTATGCAGAGTCCTCCAAGGCCTCCTAACAAAGTGGTGTGAGCAGTGGCGATGCAAACATCCACTTCCACTAACAGAACTCTTTCACACCCTTGACAAGTACATAGAATAGATTCAGATACTTTGCTTCTCCTGAAATAAATTATAAGATAGAATTGAAGAGTGAAAAAAAAAGTAAGGATCCATATTTAGAGTAGAACAAAGGATACAAAAAGTCTGGAGGTGGGCGGCATTAATTTCACTGGAACTTCAAAAAAATCTACTAAATCTCATATGCTAATCATTTCTAAAATCGAAAACGTGCTGAAGGGTTGCTGATTTTTCTATTCAAATATAATTTATATTTTTACAATATGAGTTTTTTTCCTATTTTTGAGACCTACCTCCCCTGACGACAGCAAGTTGTTAAGGTATTCCAGAAACGCCTCATCTTTGATCTCATTGTCAGTAAAGATGAAGGTGATGCCTTTTCCTTCACCACCAGCAACTTTGTATAAAGCTTTTAAATCATCTGTTAGATTACTCACATTGTAAGACCTAAAAAGAGATGTGACAGAAAATTTAAATATAAAGCCATAATTTATCGCAAAACACGATAACATAATAATCCATGATAATTAAAGCATAATCTGTACCTGCTCCAATAGATAATAATAGTGCCTGCTAGACAATTCAGAGATTAGAGCTAAAAAACTATATGTTACCAGTAAAACCAGCATGCTTTACTTAAATTGAGAAGTGAGAGATAGGGCATTTACTACGTAAGCCATAAAGCATAAAATTTTAGTCTCTGCAATTTGCCAGTCCTGGCACAAATACCGCCCAAGTGATTGTGTGCAAGAGATCTAAAACCAAGCTGAAATTTGGATGAGTTTCGTTTGGTGAAAAATTCACAATAAATTGTAAACAAAGTCAGTGATATGGTTTGTTTCATATACTTAGTTGTATGTAACAAAATTAGTTAAATTAATGACAATTTTCACAGCTCATTAAGTAGCTAGATACAGAGAAAGCCTACAGAAAAAGATGCATTATGTCATGTGGAAATGGTATAATTACTAGGTTATGAATTATGAAAAGAGAAGCTCTCGGTTCGTTGTTCTGTTTACTCTGTTTCTTGTTAGATGTATGTGCTACCAGAGGTGATGCAACCTGAAAAACTGTAAGTTAATTAAACTTAACTAATCTCTAGGTACAGGAAAAGCTGACATTTTCCGAAGTGTTATATGTAAATCTCACGGTCAGTCAAAAGCCAGGAGGACAGGAAACCCTCACTGAAGGAAGTACTACAGGGCAAGTCAGAGGACAAGACCTTAGTGCAGCCCTAAGGTCTGCTGGGAAGATGACAGCCACTGGAACCAGAGGACCTGGGGGCCTGTGCTGTCAGAGTAATCCTCTCTGAATCAATCAGCCTAGGAAGTCACAGAACCATTTTGCCTGATTTTTTAAAAACCAACCCCAACTGTTATGTATTGCTTTTGCAATGTATAGTCACAACACACTCCTCTTAGGGGTCCTCTGACCTCTCTGGATTGACTGGTTTGCATATTAAAGGCAGGCCCCTGGACAAGTTGTTTGAATCTCTAAGAATTGCCTAATCGGGAAGGCTAAGTCAACAGAGCCCCATATATGAGAGAATCAAGAATACAGAAAATGCCTAGTGCAGTGGTGCCTAGCTGTAGTCCCCACAACTCTGGAGGCTAAGGCAAGAGGATTACTTGAGCCCAGGAGTTCAAGGCCAGCCTGAACAACATAGAGAAATACCTTATCAAAACAAAGAAAGAAGAGGGAGGGAGGGAGATGAGGGAGGGAAGAAAGGAGGGATGGAGGGAGGGAAGGAAGAAACGAAGGAAGGAAGGAAGGGGAAAATAAGAGGATGTAGGTGACACACCTGCCTTAATTTAAGCTTCTGTCATTTCTAACTAGGATGACAGTAACATCACCTACCCCAGCACTACAAATTCAGACACCTACAGCATCCAGGCAGATGATGCCAAGGAGTGCAGCAGGGCTGGCGGGTCTCCAGTAAGCTGAGGGCTGCATGCCCCATCTAAGGAAGCGGCTGCTGCCCAGCTCCAGCCCCTGGGGATGCAGGCCCTTGGTTGCAGAACTCCCAATTATTTCAAGAGAAGTCAGGAAAATGTTTGTCTAAAACATGAAACCTCCCAATTTTTAAATGTTGACAACTAATTAAATTTTTAAAATTTAATTTAACTAATCTCCAGGTATATGATATTTTATGGTTTTTTAAATGCTCTTATAAATTGTCTCTTACTAAACTTTTATTTTCCGTTTGCATGGCAGCCGAGTGGGGGGTACGTGTGTGTGTGCTTGTAAATTGGCAAACTGATCTAAAATCCATGGGAAATAAACAACCCAAATAGTCAAGACAATCTTGAAGAACAAGGACAAACTTGAAGATCTGAAACCACCAAATATAAAACTATTACATATGTAAACATATTAAAGAACTACAGTAATTAAAATAGTGAGTAATGGCATAGAGATAGATAAACAAACCAGTGGATCAGACTTCAGTTACATCAATGATGAGATGGTTGGTGACAAAAAATGATATAGTCAGGTGGCAGGGAAATAAATGGAACTGGACCAACTAGATATCTATATTGGAAATCATAATCTCAATTACTACCTTAGATTTATAAGAAATTAAATTTGGGGCATATTATAGTTCTAATTGTGAAAGTAGTATATTTTATTTATAAATGAGAAGGAAATCATAGGAGAACATCTTTGTGACCTTGGGGAAAATAAAGATTCTTAAATAGCATATAAAAGTATTAATCATAAAGGGAAAAGAATGATAACTTTTCATTAAAATCAAGATCCACTAAGAGAGTAAAAAGGCAAATCATGAAGTGGGGGCAGATATTTGTAACACACACTCTGACAAAGGAATCATATCCAAAACACACACTGAATTCCTAATAATGACAAGAGAAAGAATCACAACCCAGTTGAGAACCTAAACAGCCAATGTGAGGTGAAAAGATCCTCGACATTATTAGCCGTCTGGGAAATGTAAACTGAAACCAGAGTGAGATACCACCGCACACCCTCGGCTCTGCTAAGATGGAAAAGACTCACGGTACCAAGGATCTGGAGCCACTGAAACTCTCAAGTGCTGGCTGAACTGCAAACTGGAACAACCACTTTGGAACGTGACTTCACAGACCTACTAAAGAAGAATATCTGCCCACTCTATACCCAGGAATTTTACCTCTAGGAGTAAACCCAGACATGCACAAGAACGTTCACAGCACCTCTATTGGCCCAAACAGAACAATGGATAAATAATTTGTGGTAATATGTGAATATAAACTATTGCTACATGCAGCATCATGAGTGAATCTCACAAATATGGTGCAAGAATAGAAATGGGATGCAAAAGAAGCAAATCCTGTATGAGCCCCTTGATAAAAACCTCAAAGCTAGGCCCACTGGTGACACCTATAGTGGCTAAGGTGCCAGCCACACACACGAGCTGGTGGGTTCGAATCCAGCCCAGGCCTGCTAAACAATGACAACTACAACCAAAAAATAGCCAGACATTGTGGTGGGTGCCTGTAGTCCCAGCTACTTGGGAGGTGGAGGCAAGAGAATCACTTAAGCCTAGGAGTATGAGGTTCCTGTGAGCTGTGATACCAGGGCACTCTACCCAGGGCGATAGCATGAGGCTCTGTCTCAAAAAAAAAAAAAAAA